ATTACGCGTTATTAGAGTTTATATTTCAACGTGTACCTTCAATTTTTGGCGATACACGATTAAGAGTGTACATACAAACGCTAATATATAATACGCAAATTATTTTATTTCGTGTAATGTAGGCGAATAAGTATAAGAGAATAAAAAACTATGATTATTTTTTCCACTGCGTCCGCTTAGATAGCAGTATGTCGAATGATAATACAAATGCTAATTTGAAGATGGATATTCTTTTCACTATATTGTTATCACGCTGCGAAGCTATTTCATTCTACGACCGTGCTGTTATCGCGCTTTAAAAGCTATTCTTCTACGAACAAAGCGCCATATAACGAAAAAGAGAAAAAAAACCTTGTATCTTTGAGTGAGCATCTTCTCATATCTCCTAATCTTTTGTCTCTGGAAGCGTGCCTATCGTCACCTACCAGTGACATATTTTCGAGCCGAGTTTCTGTAGTCCGTGTGGAAGCATTTATTTCCGGAATAGCCCGCGCCGCGCTCGCATAGCAGGGGTGTTTTTGTCTTTCGCCGGGTGACGTAATCGTTGCTCATTTCGCGTCTAATTAGCGTGGGGATTAGCCTCGAAACGGTCGTAAAATGTCGCGCAATGCGTGCTGCCGCCTGTACCATTTTATTCGTTTCGCGTTGCTCTTCACGGTATCCCGAAAGTGTAATCACGGTTATCATCGGAATTGCCATATCACGGGAAAATTTAATTAGTTTTTACCAGCTATTCTCGAGGTAAAACGGGGGGGGGGAGGGAGGGAGACTAAAGCTGGGCACGCTGAGAGATAATAGAAGAAAGCAAGCGGGCTCGTGCGCGGTTTGAATATAAATATGCCTTAAAGAAGAGGTGGAAGCTGATCGGCGCAACGTTTTGTTGCGGCTGGAAAATTCAGGTTTTCCAAGTGAAATCAGACGTGACTATCGCGGGATACAATATGTATACGCGCGCGAACGTGTCCGAAATAACGATCGGGGCTTCATCATCGCGAAAAATTACGAATGAGAACGCGTACAAAGGGATGCGCAAATTACAAAATGGCTTTATTGATCATAAGTAATTCAGCTCCGTAATATCTTTTGTGATCCAATATTTACACTGTGCACACATTATATCACATTTGCAAACGTACGCGGTATATTTCTTCCCGATTAATAACGGGGAATCGCTCATTTTACTGTAAATTTTCGTGTATTTATCGTGATAAAACAATAACCTTAATTGAATGGATTACGGGTCGGGCGTTTTACAGAATTACGAAAGATATTTCGCAAGAAGCGCTTTAAATCCACAAAAAACAAGGGGTAGAAACAACGGTGGAGAGAAAGAGCTTGACGCATCAATTTGTTAATAGCCATGGGAATTCCACGTAAAAGGCAACGGGAAATTTTGTTCTATGGTCAGCCGAGCCGAACGGTGTATCCGCCAGTGTTTTAACCGAATGAAACAATGGACGCATATCTACGTGACGTAGCAAGATATTGTTGTGCGAAAATTATTGCGGGTTAACGGGAATTCTGCCCTCTCCCCCTCCCGCCCTTGTTTCTCCCTCTCACTCTCTTTTGAAGTTTTGCTTCTCCTTCCCGTTTTCGCCCGGTGGCCCACTTCCAAATAACAAACACGCTGCGCGCGAAGCTGCGGCGTGTGGCGGTAACGATCGCAGGTCATTAGCAATGCTAATGCACCTTTCGACTGATGAGGCAACGTAATGCCTCTGGTCGGCTCGTGGGCCGAGCTCTCTTACCCCCCTCTCGTACATTTCTCGAGGAGACTACTTTAGAGTACCCGCGCTACCGCGGGATGGCTGGTCGCTCCATCGGATTGGCTGCCGTAAATTGTACCAAGGAGACTATTGGCTTCCTATTATCGCACTCTCCATCTATTTTTTGGGGAAAAAAATGGAGCCCAACAGTGTACTACATCGCATCTATTCTCAATTAAATCCCTCGCAAAATTTATAGTGAGATAATATATTTATATTTAAAAGAATCCAGTATTAATAGAGAGTTCGAATACTGTCACATTTGATTTTACATTTTACAAGGTCTTAAAGGTTTTTTAAAAGGTTTTAAAAGATTTAAAAGATCAGGGCACGTATTATGGAACTGGAATTTCGGAAAGAATTTCGCGATCGAAATTGTTCAATTATTCTCTAGATTTCTACTGTGTTTTTTAGAGAAAACGGAATAATTCCAATCGGAATTCATTCCGAATAGTTCCATAATACGTGCTCTGATGTTATATTTACAATATCGAGTATTATATTCTTTAAAAATAAAATATACTTTTTGAAGAAAGCCACCATTACAATATCGTTAAATTTTATTATTTTGAACTACTTTGAACTACGACTAATGGTACTACCATTATACTTCTATTTTTCTCTTTAATTTGTCGAAGTTGTAATAAACTATTTTAATCATCAAGATATTTAATGACTCAAATTCATTACTGCGAGACAATAAACCGTACAGTGAAATGAAATCACAAAATTTTCCAACAATAAATGTTACGATCGACGTTCACAAAAATCTGTAGGAGTTTTCCGATTAAATACTTTCTGAGCAATACATTTCCGAACGTACGTTTACGCTTCTTCGTTTAACAACGGCACAGCCCTACATTTCTACGCCATGAATCCTTCAGGTTCGAAGAAGGCACGTAAGGGAATTTTTACGACTCCCGGTACGCCGCTTTCTTTTATTTTTACGTTCAACTTACGGAGCATCTGGAAACGTTGATGGCACAATTAACGGGCGGAAGTGCTGCAACACGGTCAATATTGTACCTATTGCCACCAGAAGTCATTTCTCGAAATAACAAAATAATGAAAACGATCTTATTACGGTGTCTCGGAAATATAATTTATATTTTTGAATTTTCAAATAAAACGAAGTTTGATAAAATTTCCGATTTCATCGTAGATATTAATAATAACAAAACGCACTACAATAATAAAATATATTAATATCTAAATTAGCGAAATTTTATCTCAGAAATTGAATTACATTCGGTTTGAATTTTATCGCGAATTGAGATTAATAGAAAATGCCGACCACGAATAAACGTGAAGAGAGGAGAAAGCGATTATTATCGGCGTGTAACCGGGCAGATAGCGATAAATAGAAATTTCGATAAATCAACCGTGATTCACAACAAATGACTTGTGTGCATTGTATTATAAAACAATCCGCTCTCTGTTTAAATATATAGTCGCGTGCATTTACGGTAATCAGCGCTGTTATGGAAATTCTGAATTTCTATATTCCTTTTATCTTAATTACAATCTCACTGATAGTTGCGAATGGACGTCAAATGTCGTAGCGTTTTCTTCGCGAAATTACAACAGGGTAGTGTCTTTATTTAAACGAAACCCCGTGCTCGTCGAGCCGCATAACTGCGGATTGCGACGCATTGCTACGCAAGGTTACGGAGGGCCTTGCTCTGAAGCCAGGACATTGTTAACAGTATTGCCGCCTAATTAACCGCAAACGCTTTCGGTGGATTTCGCTTGGTCTATTGTTTACATGCGGGCACGCCGCCTATATGTATATAGCAGTCCTCCATGACTGAACCAGCTGAAATATTTCCATGGGAGATTCTCTCTCCCTTTGTGAATTCACTACCGTGGGTGGTAGGTATATGTAATTCAATGGATTTCCCGGGCGCGTGTGCTCGTGACACGCGTGACGGAAATAACACCTGATAATAACGCGATCGTGTCTCTTTATAAACTTCGCCATTATACTCGCGCGGAGTTTCGTTTTAAGATTTAATTAGCGAGCCGATACGCTTCGCGAAATTCTTGACGAAAGATATATTTCCGGAATTTAATTTAGCGGGTTCGTTGTCAGAGCAACTATAGCTTTGAAAATTCAGAGAATTGGGCGTGGAGGCGCTGACGCTGACGGAGTCCTGCACGTCCGACAACTCCCGCGTAGGATGGGTTATGTTGTAAGTTTAATAATCGAAACCGCACTTTCATGTACCGTTTATCTTGTTCGATTTTATTATGCGAAGAAAGATTATCAATTCGTATAAAAAATATTGTATCTTACATACGATATACCACACATGAAAGAAACAAAAGTCTCAAAATGTAATTTAATTTGCAGAAACATATTTGGAAAAAATTGATTATTGATTTGTACAATAACTAGTTTCAGATTTGTTTATTTTGGGGGCATTATTAATTTTATTAATTCACTTGAATCAACAATTTTCCTATATTACTGTTTTTATCCAATATTTTCAATTTTTGCAATTTTCTCATCAGCTTTATGAATATAAGTCAAAATAAAACATTATAGAATAAGATTTCTGCTGAAAACCGAAATTGATATGAGTTTATAATTATAGATTCCCTGTATTGTAATTATTAAAAAATGCTTTATCTTTTTTTAAAATTGTAATAAATCTTTTACGATTACAATTTCTCTTCCCGGAATCTATTAACCACCAGTCTCTTGCTCGTCCCCCTTTCGCGAACTCCAAGAGCCCTGAAAAAAATTACTTCCATTTTCTTCTGTCCACAAGAAGCTGCTATCGCGATAAAAGCTTCGCTGCAAAATAAGTTATTCATAATCAATACCGCGTGAACCTCGAGGTAGCGTGCTCAGATTCAAAGATCGCCCGTAAATCAATCGCCACGTCATTAATTTACACGCAGGCCGGCCGTTGATTTTGAAAGGGGAAGACCAGGTGACGGGAAAAACTCATTAATTATATCATCCACATAATAAATCCACGATAATCAAGATATATATCTATATACGTAGTATGTATCTTTTATTCGGTTTTCTTTTCGATGCGTGCGAGGCAACCGCCACGACGAAAAGCGCGGCTAGAAAAGCATAGCGGGAACATGCTCGTGCGTTTGTCACGCAAGCGTATTTCGCGTCTGCCTACACGTGCGTTCCTCGCGTGTCTTCACGCGACGTACTTCCCTCGAAGAGCGTTCGTAATAACTCCTGATATAATAACCTCGGTTTCTCAGGCTACGACAAGACAAGGGTGGCGGCGCTTGGTGCCCGAGAAATATGGTGACCAAGGAAGGCAAGGAATACCTAGAGGTGAATCTGCACACACCGCGCTTACTGACGTCCACCAAGACGCAGGGCAGATTCGGCAACGGCAACGGGGTCGAGTACACCGAGGAGTACTTTGTCGAGTATTGGCGGCCAGGGTTCAACAAGTGGGTGCGATGGAGGAATCGACGTGGCATAGAGGTAGGTAGCCGTCTGGCTAGGTCATCGATCGAATCGCGCCCGAGATTTCTTTCCCGGGTACCGTAAGCCCGAATTGACTGCGCGTCTGCAGATATTAGGTGATTTCCCTTTATTTATCGATACTTATATGTGAATACGTAGGTTCATTTGGAGAACCTTTATATACTTTTTCGGACAATCAAAAATGAATTTGCCAATGAAAAAAATTACACTATTTTAATTTATATAATTACTTGGCCATTATATTATTATACCTACATTTTATATTACTACAAGAAATATATATTTTGATTAATTTTCATACAAAAATCTTCGAAGAGAAATTGCTCTGTTTCTTTCTCTTTCCTTCTCTTCTGTATTTTCACTTTGCAAAATGATTATGTTTTCATTTTGCGCAACAAGATTCGATATTGCAATTCATTTGAACGCACGATACTGTAAAAAATCATCAGACTTTTCAATTGAATTTCATTTTAAGTTTGCGGCGGTATGCCGAAATTCGATTCTTCTCGACGTCTCGCGTGGGTTTTATGCAGGCGTTATACGGTTGGAATTGAAGATGAAATATTGGAAAATCGTAGAACGAAATTTATTTTCTGCCAATAAATCTCGTCATTTCGTGTCACATTGTAAAGACGGATTGCCCGATATAGCATTCAATACAGCTTGCGCTGTGCTAATCTTATACATACATATATATCATTGTACTAATTTCATTGCCATCACACGAATACACGTGACGCTCTTTTAGTTATAATGGAATATCTGCCGACTCATTTACTTATAATTGCTACGTAGCTAAATATTAATGTCCCTATTTCACTCTGTATATGTATATATACATATTTCGAGGGGAAATTAGCAGACTCCGTACGAAACGGCTCGATTTCCTGGATTTAACTCAAGTTATCCCTCCTGGCTTATTCAGCACAGCAAGTTACGAATTGATAAAGCTACCGTTTGCTTTTAATCCGATATGCGAGGAACATAAAACGATTCCTATACTTATTACATGCTATGATCACATTTCACCATATTTTGATAAGTTTTGATTATAAAATAATGATATAAAATGATTTTCTTAGATGCGTTTTCTATTCAAAGATTTAAATTTGCTATCGATACAGTAATAATATACATATATTGAATATATGTAATATTCAATAAATGTAATTAAATTGTATATATTGAATATATAGAAATGATTTTAGTATAGCTTTGTTAAACAAAAGTGCGAATTTTTCCGTCTTAGTGATTACATCAAGTAGAAATGCGATCGTTTAACCCGACAGATTATCGAAACATTCGTGCTTTCAAGATCTTTGAGATCATTTCGGATATTCACTACATCCTTTCATAAAGAGAGAAAGCTGTCTTTATATTATTTATATTAGTTTTCATATTATATGTATTAACCGAATTTATTAAATATAATAATTAATTGGTTGAGTCTCACGTAAAAAACTCAATAATAATCAATGTGTCAGCTATTTTTTATTGGCATTATAATAAAAATTTTATATATAAAATATATCTTAAATTCAATTAAAATTCGCAAAATAGGCCAATGATTGTCATAGCAAGATCTTACTGCTCACTATAATTTCATGTGATTTTTAGGTATATTCTTCTAGTTCTACAAACTGCGCGCCGTTATTTGTGGTTTCGATGTAGTTCTTAATTGAACTAAAATAATATCACAGTATTAAATTAATAATCAATTTAATAATACTGGTGCTTGCAAACATCTAACAAGATTGTTCCTTCCCCCAACGCGATGCGAGAATACTGTGAAAAGAAATTTTGCTACGATATCTTAATTATTTTATGATTCTTGTAACATCTGTATAGATCATCATGTTATAAATCATTTTTCTAGTTCAACTTATTATTGAATCCTTTTTCTCAAAAGTACTGTGCGCCCGAAGTTGTAAGGCTTATTTTAATGGTACTCACAGTATTAGTGTTAATTTCCGTTCTCCTTTTATCTAGGAAATACCGTGTACGATACGGGCATTGCATATATGAGAACCTCTGTCCCGGTTGAACGGCCATTACTGGATGCGACGTGTTAATTAACGTCTCTTTAGCATGATAATCCGTACGCGATATCCATTAGCCCGTCAAAATACATCACGGCGGTTAAGCGATTTGCTTGTGGCGACGAAACTACGCAGATCCTATACGGACGTAATCTTAAAATTGATGTTAGATAAGTGCGTTTCGCGTGAACGGTTTTCATTTCGACATTTCTCGCAAACAAAATACGTATTATTGGCGAATTGAGGAAATAGGTAATTGAGGAATGCAAATAAAATGAATCACAAGTGAGTTACCGTTGAGAAAATATTACGATAACATTACATGAATTTATGTACATAGCATCATTTGCCAAATCGAGATAAAATTATATAATAATAATTATATTATACATTCTCGTATCTCTCTAAGGATTTTTATAAAATGACTTATGAATTAGTCACAAAGGCACTGCGGCAAAGAAATTTCGTATTAAATCGATCAAACAGCATAATTGAAGACAGTAAATCGGTAGTTAAAGCTATTCTATCGGACATCGAGTGCTGCTGCAGCTATTATCCTACGAACCATAAGCTGCCATTGGTCCAAATGGAATTTTAATGGATGCACAATAAAGCGAGTGCATTTATTCCGCTTACCGAAACGGCGCGGTAAGTCATAATCAATCGTAACGAGCGCGGTTCATTTTTCAAATATCTAACGATAGATGCGCGCGTTCTCCAGCGTGCTCACTATTACACTTTTATTCCATTATGCGGAAAGTACGCGAACAAACCTATATTAATAATAACATGGGATCAATGAGTTCCGTGATCAAGCGGGGAAAATGCATTGCCTTGCTGCGTTACCCGCAGCCTTCGATAAAATCCACTGTTACCTCTTTCCTCTATTTCTGGATAATAGAATCCGAAATCTCGTTTCTAACTATATGTTGATTCTTTCGCTCATGATTCTTTCATACGTAAGCATCGTTTATTTGCTTTTTGCAGTAATCATCTTCTTGAATTCTCGCGCGCGCGTGCGCGCGCGCTTCATCATCCGACGCTCTATCTTTCCGTGAACATTATTCAATGCCCGCGTTATGATATTACCACGTATAAGTGTTAAAATTCACTCGCTCACGCGAATTTATCGCGCCCCGTCGCAAATTGCCGGTCGTAATAGAAAAAAGATTACCTGAAGCGCCGAGATTTTTCAGTATTTACCTCGGCATCCGCAATATATTTCCTTCAAGAACTAATTTCGTCCAGGGGAGGGAGAGAGCGGCAACGGCTACGAGAGACTTATTACCTAGCTGCCTTACGGTCTCCCGATAAATAGAAAATCAAGAATCTCATCGGTAACGAACTTACTTCGATAGACTATCATAACTCACCTCCGGCTGGTACTCGTCGGAGGGTCGTCGTCTGGCCCCGCAGGAAAAGCTCCGTGACGCGGAAGTAATTTTCAACTCCGAACCGTGTCCTATCGTGGATGGCGAAGCCTCGTTATTCGACCCCGCCGTCATCAGAAGGGCTCTGATATTCGCCATGGTTATCTCTTACTAATCTCTTTCTCTCTCTCTCTCTCTCTCTCTCGCGCGCGCGCGCACACACACACTTAGATTCTCGCCCGTGCACTCTGTATGCAGGCGTGCACACATTCAACGTACACACTTTTCGCTCTCCTCCCTCCAGCGTGGTTCGTACTAGACGTTCTTCCCATTTTCACGCAGATTTGCTCAAAGCGAGAGAGTAAGCCGGAGATCCGAAGGCGAAGGAGAGACAGAATGCCCAGAAGCAAAAGAGGGAACACGAACGTTTACCCTGCAGCCTCAATCTGGGCGGCATGTGATCTTTGTGCACGCGCTCCTTCCTTTTGCTCCTTACACTTTGAATACGGGTGGGGAAAACGAACAGTCGAGACCTGAATGAGGAAACGAAAGGGGGATGAGCGCGAACACGTGAGGGAAAGAAAGAGAAAGACAGAGAGAAAGGAATAGAAAGAGCGACTACGTTATCGCGCCATTGTACGTGACCCGAGCTCTCCGCAGGCGTTTTTCTACAGCAGACATAGTTCCTACGTCTCAGACGAAACACGTAACGCGAAAGAGGGTTTTCCGGTATCCGATGAAACACTTGCTCGTTTTATTAGTGAAGAATCGGACGGAGTTAATGCAGAAATGTATGTGATAATTAGAAACCGATGAGAGTGTGTCTAATAAAAAGAAAGCGAATAACGATGTATCACGTAATGGATGATCCATCGCGTCTGATGCTGCACCGTCGTATGATTTCCGTAAAAATTTGAAGAACAAAATTCTATATGGTTCGTGTCTGCGGATAATCCGCGACTACGCAATTATTCGCACTTGTATATACGATCGTGCGAACGTAGCGCGATGATAAATACACGATGAATATTACAGAAAGTCTGGCATATATGTAGGAGCGTGATATATTTTTACGTTCGCCGAGCTGACGCGTGCAACGAACCAGTTACATTTTTACACCGAAAAAAGCGGGCGACGGTCACCGGCCGCGACGTTACTCCAATAACGAAACAAAAATAAAGAGCGAGTGCGCGCGTGTGCGTGTGTGTGCGAGAGGGAGATTATGACTCGCTTCTTATGAGGTGCACGTGAATTAAGCCGGACAGGCCGGGCTCATCTAAATTCACGAAACGCCGGAGAGTAGCCGGACCTCGGGCTGCTGGATGCAACCTGATGGAAACGGAGCGGAATACAGCAGCCAGCCAGCTAGCGCCTCTCCCTTTTACGTTCGGACGGCCGCTGTCGTGCCTGCGGCGGGACAATTGCCAACGGTGGACGTGTTTCATTAACGCCGACACACCGGCACGGACGAGGCTTTGTGAGAGAGGTACACCCACGGTAACTCGTATACGTCTTCCCTGTAATACGAGCAGTCCTCGCTGCGGCTCTTGAACATACCTACCTGTCGCGGCAGAGCTAAATGAATTTG